AGCCCGTGGGAGAAAGCAGCATCTGATAGACACTAAGACCTGGCTGCGCCCGGCGGGAGCTGGCCTGGACCTGGGGGGGCGGGGGGAGCGGAGAAGGAGGCAGTTAGTCTCTGAGCTTAAGGAGGGAGGTTGCTGGAGGGAGGCGGGGGAAGGCGGGGGGAGCCAGACCAGGGCCTCCGGAAGTCTGCAGCAAGGCACACCCGCTGCGAGAGGAAGTGGATCGATTTTGAAAAGCCATTTGCTGGTTACAGAAAAAGAAAAAGAAAAAAAGAGCAAGTACCTCACGAGCCTCTTGCTCTGAAACAAGCAACGCCCTGGGAGGCGTGGGAGGCGCGAAGGCGCTCTGCAGGCGGGACCTTGCCGAGGGAGTGAGACCCGCCTGCCCCCGTGCGTTCCCCGCGGAGCACGGGACTCACGCCCCTTCTCTGGGTGCTTCCGTTTCTTCATCCTTTTTATTTATTTCTCCCTCGGGCTAGGAAGCAGCTTAAAATTAACATCTCAGGCTTTGAGACATTTAAACAAAAACGTGTAATGCAACACAGCTGATCTGCATCTCTCTACTCGCAAGTGCAGATCTTCGTTCACTGGTTTTTGCGGCTCTTCTCTGGGGAAGGCACCGCTTAGATTCACCTGTGAAGTGCGCCACAGGCACTTCATTCATTCGTTCTCCAACAAATATTTGGGAGTAAAAAAGATGACTAAGATCCATCACTTCCCTCCTGTGGGGAAAGTGGACAAGTACATTCACAGGCACAAGTACCCTGGAGATGGGGGCGGGGGGGCAGCGGAAACAGAAGAATCTCAGATGCCCCCAGAAGAGAGGAATGACAGGTCGTGGCCACCTGGAACTCTGGTGCTAAAAATCAACAGCCCAGATGTGTGGGCTACATTTGAAATGTCTGGATTTCTGATTATTATACCCAAATGTCCAACAGCATTTGTAGGAAAGAGAGCATGAATGCAACTTATAAAAAATGCAAGCATGTATCTTGAAAAAAATGCAACTTGTAAAAATACAAGCATAAAAATAATTATTTTTATGAGCCAGCCTTTTCTACTAGGACACAGATCATCAAAATTCTTTGCTATTTGTTTTACATTAATTTATTACTTTCCCTCAATTACTCGGGGAAATTTATATTTTTTCATATGGCCAAGGTGGTAGGCACCATGGCCCAAAACAATTTGATGAACTGTGAACAAGGCAGGATTTTAATAAAATTTGAAACCTACAGCTGTCAAGCCACATGAAGCCTCATGCTTGCAAGTATCAGGCAAACATCACGATAGAATTGGTTAATGTCAGAAGCACTGGCAAAATACTTTGCATCTGAAAAGATATTTCAAGCAAACGGTAATGTAGAAAAAGCTGGGGTAGCAATACTTATATCAGACAAAATGGACTTTAAAACTGAGACTATATTAAGAAACAAAGAAGGACATTACATAATAATGAAGGGACCGAGTCAACAAGAGGATATGACCCTTGTAAACACAGAAGCATCTAAATATGTAAATAAAATATCCTGTATAATAAAAGCCTAATATGCAACTTGTCCCCTCCAGCAGTCATTCGACTGGGAGTTCGACGCTCACTATGACATGCTCTGACCACCAGGGGGTGGTGCGGAACATGGTGGGCGTCACAACCCGGCGCTGGCAGTGGCCGGCAGTGGAGTTGCTGCTGGCCCCATGGGCCCCAATGAGAGGCAGCCTTAGAGCCATCCGAGGAGTCCAGCCCTCCATGGTGTAAACAGGGACTGACAAGTGGAGACCGTGAGGGTCCGGCCCGAGGAGCGGTGGTCCTGGTTGGGGAAGGGCGGCTCAGTCAAAAAGGGTTCCCATGTGACGCCATTGGAGCGCCCACTGTAGGGGAGCCAAGGAGGCAGCCAGGGAGCAAGCGCGTCTCTAACCAAATATCCTCTGGGGACGAGGCCGGCGGGGCCAGGTGCTGTGGGTCAAAGTGCGCTGCTCCTGGAGGGAGCTCCCAGGGGACGTGACGCCTCTGGTCAGCTCCCCCCTTCATGTGCCTCCGTTTCTCTCCCTGGATGTATTAAACCACATGAGGACCCAGAGCACTGGGTGACAGCCCCATGTGCACTCCCCGGATGCGTCAGGGTTTAATTCCAGGTGTGTTCTGGAGTCCCTATGGGGCCCCTGCACATCTTAGGGTTCAACCCCAGACACCTCTGCGAGGTCCTCACTCGAGTAAGGATGTTCGAGAGACTCCACCAAAGGGAGGAATGTGCCTCGTTGACCTTCGGAGCTGGGGCGGCCCATGCAGTGGTCGGTCGGACTTTGTCTTGCTGCTGGCAGGGCCTATTGCCTTCTAACCGGGTCCGACAGCCGTTTATCCTCGCATGGGAGTCTTCTAGTGGCAGCTGCCCTCGTGGTATTTAAGTGGCTGATCCATGCCCACATCAGGTGGCCTGTAGTTTGACAAAGGAGTAGAAAATGAAAGAAAGGGAAATCCTGCTTCGGAACAGCAGCCAGAATACGTGGCTGACGGTGCCCGGGGCTGCTCACAGAAAGGGAAGAGAGAGAAGCAACAGGGTCTGCTCTGCTCACTGTTCGAGGTTTGTTGTCAGGAGGTGGGATCCCGGACAAGCACCCAAAGAGGATACCGAGCAGAATTCTTCCCGGGGTCATACCTCACAGAATCGAAGAACGAACTGCGGACCAGACACATTCAAACAAGGCAGGAGTTTACTGCAACAAACACAGGCTCCTTGCTCAGGGAGGGGATTCAAATGGGCTGCCCCGGAAGCATTCTGCTCTCCCCTTATACCTGCTAAAGGCTCACTCTTTGTCTATCTGTGCCTTTTTCTGAGTGGTTCCTGGCCTTTATGCAACATTTTGTTTTGCACTTGCAAGAAAAACATCCTTGTTTCAAAACACCCTGTTTTTCTGCTACCCATCCTGTTTTCTGCAAACACATTTTTTGTTTGTTTCCGCTAGCTCCACGATTCCTCCTTCTTCCACCCCTCACCCTATCTACCTAATCCTGCTTTAACTCCTTTCAGTACCATATGATTTCACTTATATGTGGAATGTAAAGAACAGAATAAACAAACTAGAAACAGACTCATAGATACAGAGAACAGACTGGCAGTTGCCAGAGGGAAGGAGGTTGGGAGACTGGGTGAAAAAGCAAGGAATCAAGAAGTACAAAATAGCCTGGCTGGCGAGGCTCAGTGGTTGGGCATCAACCTATGAACCAGGAGGTGATGGTTCGATTCCGGTCAGGGCACATGCCTGGGTTGTGGGCTCCATCCCCAGTGTGGGGTGTGTAGGAGGCAGACAATGAATGATTTCTCTCATCATTGATGTTTCTATCTCTCTTTCCCTCTCCCTTCCTCTCTGAAATCAATAAAAATAAATTTTAAAATAAGTACAAAATAGGAGTTACAAAATAGTCATTGGGATATGGTGCACACAGAGAATATGGCAAATAGTGATGTAGTGACCACATGTGGAGCCAGGCAGGTATCTGAGCCCTCACGGGGCCGCTCTGTAAGGTGTGTGATTGCCTAGCTTTTGTGTTGGACACCTGAAACAATATGAACTAATATGGAATGGACTGGAATGGAATGGAATGGAATGAAAAGATTTTAATTTGCCTCTTATTTTGCTGACAGATTTAAAGACCATGTTGTTACCTGTGTGTATGCACATACTTTTATACATGTATGTGTGCATGCAATCCTGCTAGTGTGTTTTTGTTATATTTATGTTGAGGTAGGCGTGTGCTAGAGGGAAGAAAGCAAAACCACAAAGGCAGTGCCTCCTTTCAGCAGCCCCAGCTGCTTTCTCTCTCCTCGCTTCCCCTCTTCCTAATCGCCTGCTTATCCCACAAACCCCCAGGCAGCTCAGAGTCCCCAGCCCTCACCTCTGTATTCTCCCCCCACACCTCAGGAAAGCCTACTCCCTTATACTCAATTCACATGAACACCCTTCCTGTGACATAGTTTAATTTAAACAACTACTATGGCCCAAAGTCTTGGTGATGGTAGACGTTCGGTAATAAATGGGCAACAGCTCAAGGGCTGATGTGAGAAACAGGAGACTTTGCCGACCAGGGAAAGTGAGTCCGCACAGCTGGCTGGTAGCTGCTGCGGTCCCGGGGGTCGTGCTGGCAGCCTTTTGCGTGTGGTCAGCCTCTTTTCTGTAATCGCTGAGTTGGAGGACTTACAGCTCGCACAGCCCCCTATTAGTTACTTGCGTGTGGTCATCTCACCCTCTGGACTGCGTGCTCCTGAATGGGGGACCCTGGCTCCCCAGGTTCCGGACGAGGCCTGGCATGCAGTAAGTGCTCTGCGCAGAGTGCGTTCTAGTGAACTAACTATTCTGAATCCGTTTGTCACGTGCAAAATAGAAGTTTGTCCACTCATCCGTCCGTGTATTTACTCGGCACTTGCTGGACAGCCTGCGAGGTTCAGTGCTGGTAACCCGGCAGCTCACCTGAGGCAGCACCGGCATCTTCCAGGGCCTGAGGGAGGAGCAGAGACACAACTCCCAGCGTGACTGAGCCCTGGAAGCCGCGTGCCCGGAGGGAAGGGGGATTGCTCTGCGCCCTGTCGCCTGTGCCTGCTCATGCTGTGCGCTCCCGCCTGCAGGGCTTGGCTGTTCCTGGCC